TTTTCAGTACCATAATAATTCCGAATGGTCACTAAATGAACTGTTGTAAGTGGAGGACAAACTGTATAAACATTCCTATTCCCACGTTACTTTCTTCTTTGGTGATAAGTTCCCTTTTTCTCTCTCTTCATAATCCCATTTTTCTCTGTCATGGCTATTTATCAAATTCAGGTTAGTAAATAAACTGAAAGGCAGGTAGTCCTTGACTTACGACGACAGTTGGAACCAGAGTTTCCATCACTAAGCGTGGGTTGCACCTGATTTTACAACCTTTATTGCCATGTTGTTAAGTGAAACGTGTGGGTTGTTAAGCAAATGCAGCTTCCCCCGTTGATTCTGCTTGTCAGAAGCCAGCTAGAAGTGTCACGAATGGCAGTCACGTGACCTGTGAGCCTGCAACAGTCACAAGTACATGTCAGTTGCCAACCAATTTTTGATCACGCGACTGTTGTGGTGCAGTGATGGTTGTAAGTGTGAGGATGGATTGTAAGTCCCTTTTTTCCACAGCCGTCTTAACTTCGGACGGTCTCTAAATGGCAAAGGGTTGTAAGTTGAGAACTGCCTGTATCTAATTCAGAGATGGTTATAGGGGATCTAGGGGATGGTTATAGGGGATCTGTGCCCGCTCCCCAACAGTCCTTTCAGCCCGCCAGAGCAAATTACACTTCAAACTTGTGCATAGCTGAAACCTAGATTGTGCAATGTGAGGTTTTGGCCATCTGCGCGAAGGCTGAAATTTCGTAAGCTTCTGTACGAAAATCATGGGATCCGTTACTCAAAGTACTGGCTTTCTAGCCTCCCGAAATGAGAATGCTGACATGTCATGAGTTTTGGTAGTCTCGTGGGATTGGGGACAACATGAGGGAATTGGTGGTACCTGTTGACCCCCAGGGCATGGTGGCTCGGCGGTTAAAGACACTGAGCTTGTCAGCTGGAAAGCTGGCAGCCCGGGTTTGAGACCCCGAGCGCCATGAGGTAGGTTGAGTTCCCGTCCTCGCCTGAGCTCCTGCCCATCTAGCAGTTTGAAAGCATGCAAAATGTGAGTAGATCAATAGGTACCACTTCAGTGGGAATGTGACAGTGTTCTGTGCACTTCGGCATATAATAATAATAATAATAATTAATAATAATAATAATAATAATAATAATAATAATAATAATAATAATAATAAAGTTGGAAGGGACCTTGGAGGTCATCTAGTCCAGCCCCCTGCTCAGGCAGGAAACCCTATACCATTTCGGACAAATGGCTGTCCAGTTTCTTCTTAAAAAGTTCCAGTGTTGGAGCATTCACCGCTTCTGGAGGCAGGTTGTTCCACTGGTTAATTGTTCTAACTGTCAGGAAGTTTCTCCTTAGTTCTAGGTTGCTTCTCTCCTTGATTAGTTTCCATCCGTTGCTTCTTGTCCTGCCTTCAGGAGCTTTGGAGAATAGCTTGACTCCCTCTTCTTTGGGGCAGCCCCTGAGATATTGGAAGACTTGCTATCATGTTCCCCCTCGTCCTTCTCTTCATTAAACTAGACATACCCAATTCCAGCAACCGTTCCTTATATGTTTTAGCTTTTCTTGCCTAAATGTAGAACCTTACTTAGTCATGCTGGCCATGTGACCATGGAAATGTCTTTGGACAATACTGGCTCCCTCGGCTAGGAAACGGAGACGAGCACCCCCTGGGTGTCAATAGATAAAGGTAATGGTTTCCCCTGTCCAATCGGACGTGGCTGGACAGAGAAACCTTTACCTATTGACTTCCAGGTTCTGGGAAAAAAAGGTTGCTGGGTTTTGGCTTAATTCACTTCTGTATTTTTGAAGTTTTTGTTTTTTTTTGAAAGAGTGCATGAAACACCTGGAGCAAGTGTTTGGCTGCCCATTTTTCAACAGTAATGTCTTTCCCCAATATAAACACTCTGCTTCTTGGAAACGTTGCTTTAGTTAACATCTTGGCCTCTTTTCCTATAGTGTTTACAGATTAGGGAAGTCGAATTTCTACATAGTGTAAACACCTGGTGGCTTTCCATAACAAACGTTTCACTCTATTTATCTTTCAATTGTCAGTTGAACACTGCTGTGAGAAACAGGACCTTCTCACCCTCCTGGAGGGGGTTGGGAGGGAGCTCTTTCTGCAGCCACTTTTCTTTAAAAGAAAAAACATGGTTAGGAAAACATGGTTAGGACTCTGTACCTAATCAAGGTCTAGAATATGGCTTAATATCAAAATCAGAATAACGGAGTTGGAAGGGAGCTTGGGAGGTCTTCTAGTCCAACCTTTTTCACTTAGGAGACCTTATACCATTCTGGGCAAGTGGTTGTCCAGTCTATTCTTAAAAGCCTCCAGCGTTGGAGCACCCACAACTTCTGGAGGCAAGTTGTTCCACTGATTAATTGATCTCACTGTTAGGAAATTTCTCCTTAGTTCTCAATTGCTTCTCTCCTTGATTAGTTTCCCTCCATTGCTTCTTCTCCTGCCTTTCAGGTGCTTTGGAGAATAGGTTGACCCCCCCTCTTTTTTATGGCAACCCCTGAGATATTGGAACGCTGCTATCATGTCACCCCTGGTCCTTCTTTTCACTAGACTAGACGCACTAAATTCCTGCAACTGTTCTTCATAGGTTTTAGCATATGTTTAGTTTTCTCCCCACTCCTAGTCCAGGGCTTTAAACCCTAAATCTCACCAGCTAGCATATGTGTGTAAATGTAGATCCTTGTCTCTATAAAAACAGGGACCATTGTCAGTCCTATGGCATATGGAAGGTGTAGTGCAGTGGTGGTGAACCTATGGCACGCGTGCCAGAGGCGGCACTCAGAGCCCTCTCTGTTGGCACACGCGCCATCGCTACCAGCAGCAGGTGCATCAGGCCATCACTGCTGCCCGGAGCAGGAGCCCCACCCAGCACAAAGGAGGTGAAGCGGCCGACTACCAAGCTCGAGTAGAGGTGGTAGAGCAAAGGTCACCAACCATTGTTGATTGGTGGACTGGAAGAAAAGGGAGGGGAAAGCATTTTACATGCATGCGTGCGTGCACAGGGCTGCAAGCACGCATGTGCTGCAAATGGGACGGGGCTAGTGCCTGTCTGATACTCACTAGCCCTGCCCTGTTCTTGCATGGTGCAGTGCCTTGTATCTGCACCCCATGGCACGGCCGTTTTTGCGCCTTGCAGCACGGTGGCCCATTTTTGCGTCCCTGGTTTATGCGTGCCAGAGGCGGCACTCAGAGGTGCCTCCCTCCCCCCCCCATGAGGGCACCACAATGCTGATGCGGCCCTGGCACTTTGCGATAAATAAGTGGCTTTTGGGTTGCAGTTTGGGCACTCAGTCTCTAAAAGGTTCGCCATCACTGGTGTAGCGTGTTTCTTAAGGCACCAGCCCCTAACCTTTTGGACACCAGGGACTGGTTCCGTGGAAAGAAGTTTTTCCGTGGACCGGAGGGGGTGTGGTTTCATGTGCTGCATGTATCCCACAGATGGGGCTTCGCTCATTTGCGTGGTCCAGTTTCTGACAGGCCACTGACCGGCGCTGGTCCACGGACCGGGGCTTGGGGGACCCCTGTCTTAAGGCATCAACATTTGTTGATCTGAATAGCCTGAAATGAAGGGTTCACTGTTGCATAAAATGTAAAGAGGAAACTGCCTATGACGAATGTGTGAACATGTGAGTGTTGGAGAATAATGTTTCTGTGGCCAAGGTGTGTGTAGGTGTCTCTTTCCCAGAATTGCACATACCATTAAAGGTTTGATCCACCATCTGTCGGTCTGTAGTTTTTGTGGACTTATTGTGGGGATCTCAAAAAAAGTCAACATTAAATATTTAATATGCCTGGGTCAGAATGACAATGTCCTAACCACCTTTGGTACATCTGCATATCCACTGGTGGAAAGAGTTTAAGTGACACCAGTTGTAAAAGCCAAAAGAAAAGTACAGTTTGTGACTGTTTACCAGCAAGACTTAAACACACAGTCTTGAAATGCTATATTCCAAAGTGCTGCACACAATATCCGTTCCTTTGGCAAACGGATCCGTATGTATTTCAAGACGGTTGCTGCAATTGTATATTTTGGCTTTGCCGGTTTAAAGCAGATTCTCTCGCACCAGTCCAAACTGGAAGACCTGCTGTCCCCAAAAGGCCCTTTATTTACTGTTGTGCTATTAATACATTCATCTGCAGGGGTACTTTTATATCACCATCGGTAAAATTTCACCCAGAGCAGAATTCCTCAGCCAGCATGCTTTAAGATATGGGGAAGTCAACTCCCAGAATTCTCTAGCCAGCTTGCTTTAAGAAATGTGAATTTCAACTCCCAGAGTTGAGTTGGTCAGCATGCTTTGAAGACATGCGGACTTCAGCTGGCTTGGCGGGGAATTCTAGGAGTTGAAGTCCAACATCTTCAAACTGCCAAGGCTGAGAAACCCAGGTGTAGTGGAAAGGTTTGGCAACCTCTTTGTGATCCCAGAAGCCATTGCCCTGCCCTGCCAGGAATGTCTGCAAGAGATAATCAGTGAAGTGAAGATGAGGCGTACATAGGTTGCACACACAATACAGATAAATACACTGCATTCGCACCCTGTTGATTTTGTGTTAACTCTGCCTTGTGGAGACTTTGGCCCTCAGTCCCACGTTTCAAAGCTCTCAGAGCCAGCAAACCCCTGTGGATTAGTAGCAGGTGATGTCAAAATACTGAAACGTGTGTCTTTAAGAAGCTGCCTTTTTAAGTTAGCCAAGATGATTAATGGCTTTTTTTCCACACAAAAAAAACTTTGGGTGACAGAGAAAACAACGTGGAACACATTGATTGTTTCAGCCCAGTTTGGCCTGGAAGCATAGGCCGTCTTCCAAACCCTGACCTCATTTTCCATGCTCATTCCAGCTACTTCCAACACATCGACAGAAGGCAATAACGGATAAAGAATGTAGGCTGCAAACCCTTGAGGCTTCGTTGTAAGGGAAAAAATCCTACACAATTCCCGAGGATACCTCCTAAGCCAGCTTTTGTTTTCTTTGCTGCAGATTCAGGAGACAGCCTGTCCCACACCACGTCTTCCCCACAACCTTCTCCGGCCATTTCTGCCCACGCAACGAGGACTGCAAGTTCTTCTCTTTCGGCTGACCACGCCACCGCCGATGCTGCAGCAGCCGAGGAGACGGCCAGCGAGTCGGAATCTGTCTTTCTGCCTGACTATCTCTTTTTATCCAACTGTGAGACCGGAAAACTCAGCCACATTAGGTAGCGTTATGCTGTTGAACGCCCAATGTATTTATTTTGCTTATTTATGTGTTAAATGGATTTGTCACCCCCTCTCTTAACGAAAGAACTCTGGGCTGCGTTTTGCGTAGAACGGATGAGTTCTGTGAGACTTAAGCCATGATTGGCGGCTTGGCAAAATTGATCAATTCGGCCACTGGGGTTTGTTCGTTTAAGCACAGTGTGAGTCGATCTGTCCCTGAGTAAAATGTAACTTTGGTTTTTTGGCAAAAACGCCCCGTAACAAACACTGGGCTTGCTTAATGACTATGGATTCAGTGGGTCGTTTTTAAGAAGTGTAGAGGTCAACTCCCAGAATTCCCCAGCCAGCATGCTTGAAGAAATGTGGATTTCAACAAACTGGCTGGGGAATTCTGGGAAACGAAGCCCACACATCTTAACGTTATTTAGATAGAGAAACCTTGGCTTAGATCAGACATGTCAAACACGAGGCCCAGAGGCCGGATGCGGCCCGCGATGTGGTTTCATGTGGCCCGCGAAGCCATCCTGAAAACAGTGAGGGAACGGCCCCTGCTGCCTTGGCCCTGGCCAGGCCGGCCGGGAGCCAATGTACAATTTTGTGGTGGCCAACTATGCTGAAACGCATTCAGTCTTAGCTCCACAAGACCGTCTGGAAACAGCGAGGAACCAGCCCCTGCCACGTCTGCCCTGCCCCCTGGGTGCATGTTGGGGAGGTGTCACCCTTTGTGAGGAATGAAGACATGGACCATGCCTTGGCCCTTGCCCTGGTCCCACCCCCTTCTGCCAGAGACCCTCAGATCTGTCCCACTCCTGCCCAGGCCCCCACAGGCACCCTTGACGCGAACGATGTAGAACTGGCCATGCCCACCCAGTAGGACACACCCATCCAGTAGGCCGCACCCACCCTGGCCACACACACACACACCCCCGCCCCCAAGGGCAACCGCAATGCTGATGCGGCTCTCAATGAAATTGAGTTTGGCACCCCTGGCTTAGATTATACTGACAAGCCACCCTTTTGCCTGATTTGACACCCATGTGGATCCCAGTGGACAGAAATGAGTGGAGTTGAAGAAGTAACTAGATGAAGGCAGAAATATTACATTAAGGGTCACAAAAGGCAAAACTTATCAAGCATCAAGTCGCCTTCACAGCGTCCGTGCTTTCTAGTCCCCAAATCCCTCCTGTTATCTCCAGGTTTTCAAGTTTCTTCCTCAGCTTGCTGGCTGAGGAATTCTGGGAGTTGAAGTCCACAAGTCTTAAAGTTGCCAAGGTTGAGGACCCCTGATGTAAAGCACCCATCTGTCATGTAATTGCAGATAGTCCTCGGCTTACAACAGTTCATTTAGTGACTGTTTGAAGTTACAACAGCACTGAAAAAACTGACTTAGGACTGTATTTTCACACAACCATTGCAGCATTTCCATGGTCATGTGATCAAAATTCAGATGCTTGGCAACTGACTCCTATTTATGACGGTTGCCTTCTCCCGGGATCATGTGATCTCCTTTTGTGACCATCTGACAAGGCAAGTCAAGGGGGAAGCCAGATTCTCTCCACAACCGTGTCGCTAACTTAACTGCAGTGATTCACTTAACAACTGTGGCAAGAAAGGCCATAAAACGGGGCAAAACTCACTTAACAAATGTCTCCCTTAGCAACAAATTTGGCACTGCCTGTGTTTGAGAAAAAAAAAAACCCTTGGTATCCTGTCAGGTAAGTAGGATGGAAACCGCACACCTATTTTATTTTATTTTTGCAATTTTCTCACATCAACAACGCAGGAATTGAACGTTTTATTGGGCCATTGTGGTGGGAGGGGGCTTCAGAAAAGGGCTCCAGGGTTCTCTGAGGTGGTAACACCTGCCTCTCTTCCAGGTGCCACAGTTGGTCCAATTCTGACCGCTCTCTGGAGAGGACGTTATCGGATGATGTCTTCTTTGACTTCGTGGCTTCTCAGTCCTCCCTGTGCTTACAGCTTTCTGGTGGGCTGCTTCAAGAGATGGTCCAGCCAACGATTCATGGCATCCTTCCAAGGAACGCGGACTCAAGTGGGCCTCCTTCTAGTGACTTCTCTTCTTCCTCGCCCCTGTCAGGGCCTCCTGCAACACCAACCATCCTAGCAGAAAAAAGCCAGAATACTCTTCCCTATGGCTTTACCGAACTTGAGATTTGGGCTAAGATTCCCCCGCCCAGGCCACCAAAGCCATCCCACTTGCCAGACCGAAGAGCTGAAGAGCAGGCTGGTGGGGTCCTTCAGAACGGACACGCAAGGATCTCCAGCTCTCCGGGGACCTTCGTTCCAAGGAGGATCTCCCTCTCGGGATTGGACAGCATGAAAGGTTGGAGAGGTAAGGGCCAATCTGTAGATCCCAGAGGTGGGTTATTAAAACATGTGTCTTCTCTTTCCCCCAACACGGTGATGAGATTTGTCTGAAATGGTACAGGGCTTCCTGCCTGAGCAGGGGGTTGGACTAGAAGACCTCCAAAGGTCCCTTCCAGCTCTGTTGTTCTGTTATTCTGTTACTTTGCATTCAGTTGTGTCCGACTCTTGGCGATTGGACAGGCCAGGTCTCTCCACAACTTCTGATCTTACACTATTTTTTTGAGTTGTTCTATGCCAGTGGTGGCGAACCTATGGCACGGGTGCCAGAGGCAGCACTCAGAGCCCTCTCTGTGGGCACGCGCACCGTCGCCCCAGTCCTAGGCCTTCATCTGGGTTTTATAAAACCTTTTCGCTTTAGGCCTCCGCTGCCATGTGCAAAAAAAAAAAGGTTCAATCAATCGGTCAATTTCAACTTCTCACGGGAAAAAAAACATCTTGCAAAGTTGGAATTGATTGAACTTTTTAGTCCCACCCAGTCTGCCGTTACCACTGCAGCCACGCCCACCCAATTGGCCACACCCAGCCAATGGGCCACACCCACCCGGCACTCGACGATGCATAAGTGGGTTTTGGGTTGCAGTTTAGGCACTCGGTCTCTAAAAGGTTCGCCATCACTGTTCTATGCTCTGGCTGGTGACAGCTTGGATGGTGTCCAGCCACCATGTTCTTTGATGGCTGGTTTCCTTTTACTGCTAACACTTCCAAGCATCATTGCTTTCTCCAGTGATCTCCCCCGCACGACATGGCCAAAATAAGTCAGTCACAGTTTTGAGATTTTTTTTCTTCCAGTGACATGTCTGGTGTTATGCATTCCAGTACTTGCTTCTTGGTCACCTTTATGTCCAAGGAATGCAGAGGAGCCTTCTCTAGCACCACAGCTCAAATGAGTTGATGTTCTTCCTGTCTTGCTTTCTTAAGGTCCAACTTTTTTAAGGTTCCCCCAACATACAAACAGTAATATTCTCCCCACGTTCATCCTCTGTGGACTCCAATTTTGGTAGGCTGATTGGGAGACCAGAGGAAGGCTTTATGATCAACTTAACAAACTGATCACATAGGTTGGGTTCCTTCAGGTCCCCAAGGGGCTTTTTCAAGAGGCCACTGGACTTGCTTTTTTTTCTTTGAAGATCTTTTGCTTCTCATCCAAGAAGCGTCTTCAGTTCTGGAAATCCATTCATACTCCCGCACCATTTGAAGGATGTTCCTCCCAAAGCACATAGCTAAATGTTTATGGAGGTTCTCGGTCCTCCAGGTCTTGGTTGTCCCCAAAGGTGCTTTTTCAAGAGGCAACTGGACTTTCTTGTTTTTCTTTGAAGACCTTTTGCTTCTCATCCAAGAAGCTTCTTCAGCTCTGTGCAAGCCAACAGGTTCACGCAAACAGAACCACTCACGAATGATCTCAAACAGAAGCTTTATTGCCAGTCACCAGTGTTAACAAGAATCTCCCCAGACGGACTGCTTTGCCTTGGGATCGGTCAGATAAGGCTTCAGGGATTCTGGGAGAGGATTCTGGGGTGTCACTTTCTGCAGTGCAAGGACCTCAAGCTCAGCCCCTTCTTAATGCCTCCCTCCAGCCTAAAGAGAGATTCCACCACAGGTTCAAACAACGTTGCCTGAAACATAGGAGTTAACTTGCGATGCAAAGTGTCCCAGCAGCTCCGCCAATTTAACACCGGAGCAGGCAAGGAATGGCCATTAGTCCTGATGGCTGCATGCTAACCTTGAATTACAGACAGCCGTAACATCAATCTGTCCTCAGAGTCTATGAAATTCCATCCCAGAACAGTACAGCCAACAAGGTCATCAATTATCAGCCACGGAGGAGATCCACCCCTGTATTAGGAAATCTGCCATGGAGGAAATAAGTGAGACAGTGCCTGGCTTTCAAGAGGTCTGTAGGGACTTTGCATCTATTTTCTATTTTCTTTCTTTCCTTCTCTTTTTCCCTCCTTTCCTTCCTTGAACAGATGCTGGTCTTTGCATGGGCATTTGGATCATTTTCCTAAGCCTTGTATAGCAAAGCACCAGCTTGCTTATCAGTGTCCTGAGCAATTCTTGGAAGCTTTCGAGAGCAACACCCATCCTTGGAAATGTTATTCTTCTTACTCATGACCCTTGAGTTGTGTTGGAAAAGAGCTTACTAAAAGGGTGTGTGCTGGTTGCAGCATAAAAACAAACACGTTCACACATACACTGATGGATTTTTCCAGATGAACCCCAACATTTTCTTTCACAGTAAACTCAACTCCAGCTCAACTTCAGCTGCAGAATATTTTCTCCATCCTTATCACATGCAGGTAATCCCCTCGACTTACAACAGTATTCTATATTCTATTCTATTCTATTCTATTCTATTCTATTCTATTCTATTCTATTGTTTTTTCTTATACTATCCTATCCTATCCTATCCTATCCATTTCTTATTCTATTCTATTCTATTCTATTCTATTCTATTCTATTCTATTCTATTCTATTCTATTCTATTCTATTCTTCTACTCTACTCTACTCTACTCTACTCTACTCCACTCCACTCCACTCCACTCCACTCCACTCCACTCCACTCCATTCTATTCTATTCTATTCTATTCTATTCTATTCTATTCTATTCTATTCTATTCTATTCTATTCTATTCTTTGATATAGTTTGTCTTGCTACTGCTAATTCTATCCTTCAGTAGCATCTGGATCCATAGGAAAAAAATGTACCTGATTTGAGAAGCATATTGAAGAAGTGTATTTTTATTCTGGGGTAAGTTCATGCTGCAGTTCTATAATAATCATGGAGTAATTGCACTTAACAGGGCTTCAAGTCAGAATGGATTTTGGTTAATTGGATAGAATTCGAATTTCTTCCAAATTGCATATTGCACCACTGCTTAGAATGAGATCTCGTTCTTTCTTTCTTCAGAAAAGATTGTTGTTGTTGTTTTTAATTTAGCAAATTCAGCAGTTTAGTTTCTTCCATCATGATGAACTGGCTTCTGCTCTTTGTTTTGTTCTGCAGCCGACGTGGAAGAAAATTCTTTACGACGCAGGGATAAGAGGTTGAGCTTGAACTTGGTAAGAGCTTTTTTTCTCACTTGCACACACTTTACACAGTGGTTTTGGCAGGGGAGGTTTTAAAAAAATCCACACCAGTTGGCAGATCAGTGTAAAAGAGGAAAGAAACAGCTCCTGATACAAATTATAACCACAATTATCCCAAAAGTGTTGTTGTTGTTTTCCAAGAGGGAATTGGACTTTCTTGGTTGTTTTTTTTCTTCGAAAACATTGCACTTCTCATCCAAGAAGCTTCTTCAGTTCAAGAAAGTCCAGTTCCTGTTTGGAAAAAAGCACCTTGGAGACAACCGTGACTTGGAAGATTGAGAATTTCCATAGACAAATAAACACAATTAAATACATCCTTGCAACATCCCAAGTGATGGTTTCCTTAATTATGGTTTACTGTATAAATTGCAAGTTCACAAGTGACCCTGTCAGGTTTGCAGGCCATTCTATGACACAAGTGTAAAAAAGATGCTGAGACTCTAGAAAGGGTACAGAGAAGAGCAACAAAGATGATCAGGGGACTGGAGGCTAAAACATATAAGGAACAGTTGCTGGAATTGGGTCTGTCTAGTTTAATGAAGAGAAGGACGAGGGGGGACATGATAGCAGTCTTCCAGTATCTCAGAGGCTGCCCCAAAGAAGAGGGAGTCAAGCTATTCTCCAAAGCGCCTGAAGGCAGGACAAGAAGCAACGGGTGGAAACTAACCAAAGAGAGAAGCAACCTAGAACTAAGGAGAAACTTCCTGACAGTTAGAACAATTAACCAGTGGAACAACCTGCCTCCAGAAGCAGTGAATGCTCCAACACTGGAAGTTTTTAAGAAGAGACTGAACAACCATTTGTCCGAAATGGTATAGGGTTTCCTGCCTGAGCAGGGGGTTGGACTCAATGACCTCCAAGGTCCCTTCCAACTTTATTATTATTATTATTATTGTTGTTGTTGTTGTTGTTGTTGTTGTTATTATTATTATTATTATTATTATTATTATTATTATTATTATTATTATTATTATTATTATTATTAAGTAGACAAGCCATATTTTAGTTTAGTATCTGTGTGGACCAACCCTTAGCCTTTTTGTCCTTCTTAGCTGGAGGATTAACAGATGAGCTGGAAGAAGAAACTGATGTAAATGTCTTGCATTTGCTCCAAATTGGGGTCCAGATGACTAGAATCTCTGAGATGACAGGGGAACATCTTGTAATATTATCTGAAAGGTTTTCAGTCAACCCTAACTCTTTTCAATTCCGTCCTGTGAATCTTGAGGAAATTAGCAACATGGCTCTGGCAATACCACCTTGTGAAAATAGATCGATCAATCAGAATAAAGCTGGAAGGGAATTTGGAGGTCATCTAGTCCAACCCCCTGCTCAGGCAGGAAACCCTATACCATTTCGGAGAAATGGCTGTCCAGTCTCTTCTTAAAAACTTCCAGTGTTGGAGCATTCACCACTTCTGGAGGCATAGCATAGGGTTTTCTGCCTGAGCAGGGGGGTTGGACTAGAAGACCTCCAAGGTCCCTTCCAGTGCTGTTATTCTGTTATTAACTTTTGATCTGGAGATGGCTTGCTGATCATGCTCACTCTGCCTCTTTCTTTCTCGTTTTGTGAAGCCTTGCCGAGTGAGCCCTCTCTATTCCTGCTCGTCAAACAACTCCGAAGACAGTTACGTTCCCATGCATCCACGCGCCTCCCCACCTGTCCCCGGAACTGACTGCACACCTGATGGCTACATTCCCATGAACCCAGGACCGGCTACTTTTGCTCTCGCTGAAGTTAGCACAGACAAGCTCACCAGCCCCTTGCCTGAACTGCCCACCGACTTGGAACCCCCTCCGGTCAACCGGGATCTTAAGCCTCGGACAAAATGTAAGCTCTTCTCCCCCCCACCCCCTGTATTTTTTAATGACCCCCCTAGCAGGGCTGGAGAGGAAGTGGACATCAGAAATATTAAGCAAAAAAAACCTGAGAGATGTCAGGTCTAGGATAAGAGAACAGATTTGGGATTAGCACTGATGAATCCTGATTTTAATTTCCTAAAGTGCCTATGAGGGTTTTCTCTTCCACGGAGAAATCATCTTTTTAGCAGCTTTCCTGGTTTTCCTATTCTTCAGCTATAGGTAGTCCTTGATTTATGACCACAATTGAGCCCGGAATTATGGTCTTAAGTCACAACAGTCATGAAACAGGTCACCATGTCCCTGTGCCTAATTTTATAACCTTTTTTATAGTGGTCGTTAAATGAATGCCACATTTGTTAAACGAACACTATGAGCATTAAACAAACGTGTTTTTCCCAAAGGGGCATTTTTTAAAAAAATATTTTTTGCCAGAAACCAGAAATAAATGCTAGAATGCATGCCGAAAATTGTGGTCCCATAATTATAGGATGCTGCAAATGGCCATAAACGTGAGCCAGTTGCCGAGCACCCCAAATGCAATCATGTGGCAGTGAGTATCTGTGCCTGCAGCCATTGGAACTTCAAAAAATGGGCCATAAGTAAGTCTTGAAAGGTCCTTTGTAACTTTGAACAGTCGCTAAACAGCAGGTTTTTAAGTGAGAATTACCTGTAAACACCAAGAGCAGGTAACAGGAGAAGAACCTGAAAAGAAATACCAAATGCTTGGAGAAAAGGTAGAAAAACAGAAACAAGGTAAGGAAACTTTCAGGAAATCAGAGGACAGATTTCAGGATAATGGGACAAGGAAGTCCCAAAGACAGATGACGTGGATGGTGGCACATTTGGAGCTTGTCTAGATCAGAGGTCCCCAACCTTTTGGGCACCAGGGACCGGTTCCGTGGAGAGAGGTTTTTCCGTGGACCGGAGTGGTTTCATGTGCTGCCTGCATCTCGCGGATGGGGCTTTGCTTGTTTGTGTGGACCGGTTGCTGGCATGCCGCGGCCGGGTACTGGTCCACGGACAGGGGGTTGGGGACCCCTGGTCTAGATCACACAGGCAAGGATAGGAGTCATAGCCACAGATTAGTTGGTGGCTAGATCCCATATCGAGAAAATCACACTGCAACTTTGTGCAAGGAAACGATCAAGACAAAAACCTTCTTTTTTCTTGGGAGAGTGATAAAGACAGATCGGTTTATCGCCACCTACTGAAAAAAGCCATTCTGCCATTCAGTTCATCACAAATCTAAAAATCCCAGAATCCTGCAAAAAACCTCCAGGAGACCTGCCAAACCGGTTTTCAGATCAGTTTGTCATTAAACTTCATTCTTCAAGAAGAAACTTTTCAAGTTCTTTGGAGTTGCCTAAAGCTTGAAGTTCTTCTTCCCCAACCGCAATCCCTACACAGAGTTGCCTTTAACAAGATTTGTTAAAGTGACGAAAGGATGAGGATGATAAGAATTCCAGCATCGGAATTCTTTGCCCTTGAGAACCAATTATCCCTATGTTTTTTTTAGGAGGGGACTTTCTTTTTCTAACAGCCTTTTTGATGAATTGACAAGGAGGTGGGGGTCTCTTCATTCATAATGGGAAAGTTTAGTCAAGCACGTGAAAGCTCCTACAAACTTTAAAGGTAGGATCATTAAAGTAGCTGCATCCTTTTTCTTTGAATCGTCAATACAGAACGAACAATATTGATGACAGAGCTCAAGGGAGTGATTCTGAGTCTCCGTGTCCGAAAGCTGAAGATACATCTTCCTGCCCCCCACCCCAATTCATAGCCACAGTTAAAGGCATCTACTCACCTTGTTATAAAGGCATTCCAAATTTGCAGCACTTAACCGAGAATTCTTTCCACACGGGCATCACACATAGACCATCTTCTCCGTAGTAGGTACAAAACTCTGGAGCAACTTGATCATTTTGGGCCATGTTGGTGCCTTAAGTCACTTGACTTGCCCAAATGATGGACTGTAGTACCTTCTCTGGCCTTTATGAAGGTGGTGCTGCAGCTCAGGAAAAACCAAACCGGTTTACTCACTGACTAGCCTTGGTGTAGAGAGCAGAAGTAAGCTGTATGTCCTAGACATAGCTTGCATATCAAATCCCCATGGAAATTATAGTCCAGGGGTCTTCAAACTTGGCTCTTTTGTGACTGGTGGACGTCTGGGAGTTGAAGTCCACCAGTCATAAAAGGGCCAGGTTTGAAGACCCCTGGTCTGAACCCTAGGCTGAGCTCCAGGTTGAAATCCCACAGGGTCAAATACTGCTTCTTTCTTGTCAATATAGGTAGTCTTAATTTACCACCACAGTTGAGACCAGAATTTTTGTCAGTGCAATTATAAGTCGAGCAACGAGGTGACTCAACCTGCCCGTTTTAGAGCCATTTTTATAACGGCCGTAAAGCGAATCACCGTGGTGCGATAAGCAAAACGTGGTTGTTAAGCAAATCCAGCTTGCCCAATGAGCACATGACCTCAGGATGCTGCAACCGATCCTAGATACAAGCCAGTGCCCGGATTGCAGTCACATGACCACAGGGTGCGCAATGGCGAGTATGTCCTAAGGCACGTTTTTCAAAGCCTTCGTAACTTCAAACCGTTGTTAGGTGAACAGTGGTTAGGTCAAGGAATACCTGCAACCAGTGAATTGTATTGAGAGGTTTTCAGTTGAAGTTCTTCCCTTTTTCTGACGAATCAGATGTTTTCTCTTTAACCCTTAGTCCGACCGCCTCCGCTGGACCTACGAAATCTTTCCACCATCAGAGAACATTCTGCCTTAACCAGGACGTGGACTGTGCCTTAGTAAGTGGCTTTGGGACCTGCTGGGCTTTGTAGAATTTACTCGTAACAAGGGCAGATGGTTAATCTCAAGGCAGAGAGAGGGTTCTGGTAAGGTCACTCCACCTAATAATAATAACAACAATAACAACAACAACAATAATAATAATATAATAACAACAATAATAATAATGCAATCCCAAAACAACTGGAGCACCACTTGAACACTATTGGCATTGACAAGTTCACCATTAGTCAATTGCAGAAGGTGACCTTACTAGGAACTGCTTCCATCCTGTGACGATATCTGTAATACCATCAAACGTCCACATCTGCCTGTACCAGGTCCTTGGGAAGGACTCGATATGTAGACAAAAATGTCAAATCTAGTCTGAACATCTGGCTTACTGTGCGATGATCAGTAGTAGTAGTAGTAGTAGTAGTAGTAGTAGTAGTAGTAGTAGTAGTAGTAACGAAGTTGGAAAGGACCTTGGAGGTCATCTAGTCCAACCCCTTGCTCAGGCAGGAAACCCTATACCATTTCAGACAAATGGCTGTCCAGTCTCTTCTTAAAAACTTCCAGTGTTGGAGCATTCACAACTTCTGGAGGCAGGTTGTTCCACTGGTCAATTGTTCTAACAGTCAGGAAATGTCTCTAGGTGGCTTCTCTCTTTGGTTAGTTTCCATCCGTTGCTTCCATCTGTTGTATCCATTGTTGTCGCAGATTGGGTTCACACATCATGCCAAGTTGCTGTTTGTCTGGTTCCGGTTTGAGTAACTCACAAACGGTTGGATTCACTACATGTTGATTGGCTTTGCACCACAACCTAACCAGAATTTTTTAGAAAATTGTGAAATTCTTACTTTCCCATATTTTTTCCCTGAAGATGGAAACATACCTAGATGTTGGCAGAATTCTCCAGTGCCAATCACAGCGTGGGACGCTCACCTGCCTCTGCTCCATCTGATCCAAGATATGGATCCACATGGGCTAAATAAAAGCTGTCGGTTTTTCCATTACCAATTTTTGCAGTGCCAATCATAACTCTCGGCACTCTGTGCCATGACTGCATTTAGTAGTTTCCTTTCTCTAGGTTTAAGGGGGGCACCGGGAGGCCAGTGGCTCCTACTCGCCCTCAAAATCCCAAATCAGTTTTTTTCAAAAGAGTCATGTCAGGGTTTTCAAAGGGAAGGAAAATCAAGGCTGTAAACTTCCTTGATCCCACTGCCATGAAAATGTTTTTTAAATCCTTCCATTCCAGAAATCAACAAAAATAAGACGAGAACGATGTCACTAGATGGCGTCTTGCAAATATCCAATGAGATATAGAATAACAGAGTTGGAGGGAACCTTGGAGGTCATCTAGTCCAACCCCCCTGCTCAAGCAGGATAGTCTATGGTACCATTTCAGACAAATGGCTGTCAAGTCTCTTCTTGGAAGTCTCCACACCTTCTGATTGCTGATTGTTCTCACTGTTGGGAAATTTCTCCTTAGTTCTAGGTTGCTTCTCTCCTTGATTAGTTTCCATCCGTTGCTTCTTGTCCTGCCTTCAGGTGCTTTGGAGAACAGCTTGACTCCCTCTTCTTTGGGGCAGCCCCTGAGATATTGGAAGACTGCTATCATGTCCCCCCTCGACCTTCTCTTCATTAAACTAGACATACCCAATTTCTGCAACCGTTCCTCATATGTTTTAGCCTCCAGTCCTCTAATCATCTTTGTTGCTCTTCTCTGCTCTCTTTCCAGAGTCTCAGAACATGTTTTTTATATTGTGGTGACCAAAGCTAGATGCAGATCAGACTGGTTGTTCTCCCCTCCATCTATGTTAACAATGTCTGAGCTACAGTTTTAACCATGGACAGGATCCCTCTGCCCTCCAAAATACATCCACATTTTTCATCCCAACGGTTTTAAGTTATCATAGCAGCCTGTTTAAAGTTTAGGGTATCTAAGAGAAATGTATTTCATATTCTTTCGCTAGAAAGAGACTCTGGTAAATTGCATCTCCGAAAAAAACATCCTTACGCTTGTAGGGAACTCCTCCCTGCCATAAAAATAAGAGACAGGAAAGCATTTGCTGCATTCCAACATTCCAGGAATAAATTGGCTTTGAAACATCAGCAGTTCAAAACAAAATATATATCTGGAATTTTGCATGCCTGAGAAGCGCCACGATAACTAAAAGGCTATTTTGTAAGATTTATTTTTTTTTAGAAAGTTGGGCCTCTCCTTCCCAAAGTAATGTAAAAATTAGGCTGACACCTCTGGTATCTTGGAAAGAGATCCTGCTCCTCTTTTTCATTCTGACATCTTGGAAGACTGGATGGGTGGGGAAGTCGCTTGGAAAACCAGATATGCAGCTATCTTATAGTTCCAGCTTTTCTACTGGGCCAGACACCATCCAGAAAGGCAGAAAAGATAACCGCTACTATCACCATGGATAAAAGAGCACTAGGACTGTCGTTTATTAGGAAGGAGAAGGAGCCATGTGCTGAAGAAGTGGAGACTCATGACAGCTGACAATTTTGGACATGCTAAACCCTGCTGGTGGTAATCTGGTTGGAGATGACTTCAGACTGAAAGACTATGGGGTCCTTGGTGCTCTCTGAGCTTGGTGCTTTTCTTGCAGACATTTCATTACCCAGCTAGGTAGTGACATCAGTGCTAGAAGGGAGTGGGGTCTGCAAAATGGAGGAGGAGGAGGAGGAGGAAAAGGGGAAGGAGAGGAGGAGGAGGAGGAGGACAACAACTGTGGAGTCCTTGGTGAGATCTGAGCTCGGTGATTTTCTTGCAGAATTTTCATTACCAAACTAAGTAACAATGTCAGGACTAAAGGGAGCAGGGTCTTCTCTTATTTTAATATAGTAGTGGCGTGTCCTGTCAGTGTCTGGGTCTGCAACTCCCAAATTTAATAATAATAATAATAATAATAATAATAATAATAATAATGATGATGATGATGATGATGATGATGATGATGATGATGATGATGATGATGATGATGATGATGATGATGATGATGATGATGATGATGATGATGATGATGACGACGATGATGATGATGATGATGATAATGATTGCACAGACTGACTACAAGCAGCGGCATGACAAAGTAGCAACCATGGTGCATTGGAAGATCTGCAAGAAATATCATTTGCCTGGTGGGATCATAAAATAGAGAAAGTCATAGAAAATGATAAAATTAAACTGCTCAGAATTCAAACAGACAAGCACCTGCAACATAACACCTCGGACAATTGTTTTCGATAAGAAAGACAAAAAAGTCTGGATCGTGGACGTGGCAGTGCCTGGAGACAGCAGAATAGACGAGAAAGAACGGGAGAAGATAACAAAATACAAAGACCTACAAATAGAAATAGAAAGACTGTGGCAAAGGCAAGCAAGGGTAGTAACAATAGTAATAGGCGCCTTGGGTGCAATCCCAAAACAACTGGAGCACCACTTGAACACCATCATCGGCATTGACAAATTCGCCATTAGTCAATTGCAAAAGTCGGCCTTACTAGGAACTGCTTCCATCCTGTGACGATATCTGTAATATCATCAAACATCCACATCTGCCTATCCCAGGTCCTGGGTAAGGATTCGATAGGTAGACAAAAATGCCAAATCCAGTCTGAACATCTGGCTGACTGCGATGATCAATAATAGTAGTAGTAGTGGTAGTGGTAGTTGGAAGGGACCTTGGTCTGCCACCATCGCAGTAATTACATCTGAAGGGTGCCCAGAATCCCCAAAATAATATTTTTTAAATTCTTTTCTAAAGGCTGAACTTTTGTGAGATTTCAGTTTCCTTACCTAAAATGTCAACAGGTTGAAGAACATAAGAAGAGCAGACAGAAACCCCTTTGCTTTGCTTTGCTTTTTTAAAAAATATTTTATTGGGTTTTTTTTACAATAAAAATCTCCAGTGCCTGGTGTGCAGCACGTTGTCTTGGTTTATATATTTGAAAAAAAAGCAATAATAATTAATTAACAGTCCATAATGATTGATTTTGATAATTCCATCATTAGTACATTAATAATATATTTCTTTGATCTTCCCTTCTCCCAATTGTATTCTCCTTCTTCAACCTTAAACAAATATACTTCTCAATATGTTCAATGTATAAATGATTAAATATACATTTTTCATGTTTGTACCGATAATGATAGCATCTATATATCTCAGCCTTTCTTATGGTCCAACTTTCACAGCCATACGTTGCAACGGGGAAAACCATGGCCTTGACTATACGCACTTTTGTTGGCAGGGTGATGTCTCTGCTTTTTAGTATGCTGTCTAGATTTGCCATAGCTTTCCTCCCCAGGAGCAAGCGTCTTTTAATTTCTTGGCTGCAGTCCCCATCTGTGGTGATCTTGGATTTTCTTAATTAAAAAGATATAAAAACAATTTTGGATTTTGCAAGTAATGGTGAGTTAGATTACCTGGGTCATTCTGCCTGTAGTCCCTGGACCTCAGGTGGGGCACTCATCTGCTCCAGCTTTGAAGCAGCAATGTAGAACCTTGTAAGGAAGCCCTTTATGAAATTATGGATACTTTCTCATTCAGACATTGGAAAAAAAACCCCAAAGCAATCAAATACTAGAAGAAGACTAGCTTCCCCTGCAGTAAATGTCTCAATTTATGGAGATGGACTAGTAAAGTGTTGCACCCGGCAAATGGATTTGGCTGTGATTTAGGAAGGAAAGAAAAAAGGATGAAAAACAGACAGTCTCCAAGGGCAAATGTATTTATATATTCGTATGCCGTTCAGAATAGAGTTATGGTTTTGGTACAGGTAGTCCTCAACTTAGGACCACAACTGAGTCCAAAATTTATGTTGCTAAGTGAGACATTTGTTAAGTGAGCTTTGCCCATTTTATGACCTTCCTGTCCACAGTTGTTCAATGAATCGCCGCAGCTGTTCAGTTAGTAACACAATTGCTAAGTGAATCTGGCTTCGCCATTGACTTTGCGTGTCAGAAAGTCGCAAAAGGGGATCACGTGATCTCGGGACGCTGCAGCCGTCATAAATAGGAGCCAGTTTGCCAAGCATCCAAATATTGCGACGGTTGTATGTCTGAAAAACAAGCATAAGTCACTTTTTCGGTGCCGTTGTTAAGTTCGAGTGGTCACTAAATGAACTGTTGTAAGTTGAGGACTACTTGTACCTGATTAAATGTTGCAGGATCCAATCTGGGTCGGTCACCAGGTCCAGAATATTTGGTCTTCCGAGCTTTTGGACACGTGCTGGGGCCCATCTTCAGGGAACCTCTCTTTTGTGACCGACCCAGATTGGATCCTGCAACGTTACCCTGGGACACGGATATTCGCCTTCATTCTTGGTTAAATTATCTCCATCCCAAAAATACTACTAGCTGTAGAAGGCAAAGTGAAGCATCACTTGCAGATGCCCGTGGACGAGATGTTTACTATCCCTTGGACATCAGTGGACAGGTCTATGCTTGCATCATAGTTTCCTATACCGCTGTGGCTGGGTAATTTTTATGTATTGTCAAATTCAACAGCAGGGACGAATAATATATAGAGATGAGCTGAATGGTTCCCTTTTTGTAGCTCATGCCAATTGCTGGGCTCTGGATGGTTTATTCCCTGCCCAGACAGCGTCAGGATTTGGCGAGATTTCAGAGCATCTGGGGAAACTCATCCTTGACCTCTTGTCTTTCTTTGTTTGCTTTTCGGTGGTGTCTCTTTTTTTCCCCCTGCTAGCAATCGAACAAGCTTTATCTCTCCAGAAAGAGACTGCATTAATTCAGCGAGGATATTTGCTGCCTCGGTTTCCGGAGAAGAGGAAGGAAGTTACATTGAAATGGTAATTATTTTCATACAGCTCTTCCCTGCTCGCCTTTTGACAAATGGCATGAACGGAACCCGCTCAGAGGAGAACCGTTGCCCTACTGAAGAAATTCCCTGGAAAAAACACAAGGCTTAATTGACACAGCGATAAGGGAAGCTTTTTCCTGTTTTACAGACCTCTGTTGTGCACATAGGCGTAGGTGGCCCTGCTCCAAATAACCACAAAGATCAGGCAGAGATGCACCCGGGCGTCTGTGGGGTGGAAAGAGAGATCCTGCACTCTTTTTCATATCAGGTCTATCCCTTCAAATTCAATGGGGAAGCTAAGACGATTGCTGTGTAGAAAACCGGCCTAGACAATATTGTGGAGATGGGCTTCTGATAAGGCAGGGACCCCCAACCTTCCTGCCTTGATGGCCTGGCCTGGCAGGCACACGCGTGAGCGCAACAGCTCCATTGGTGCGAGCAGCGGGCGCTCGCACCCTCCACTTGCACGAACGGAGCTTCATGCGTGAGCGCAAGGGCCCACCGCTCCCACGAGTGGAGCTTCGCACGTGCGTGCTTGCCCATCACTCGGGCAGCCCGGTTTCAAACAGGCCATGGTCTGTTAGTGGGCCGTGGCCAAAGGGTTGGGGACCCTTGTGATAAGGGGCCTTCCGACACAAAATGAAATGAAGCATGGGACACTATATTTATTTTATTGTGTTGTGTTGTGTTGTGTTGTATTGTATTGTATTGTATTGTATTTGATTGTATTGTATTGTATTTGACTATTTTATTTGATTGTATTTTATATGGTTGTATTTTATTTTATTTTTTTATCTGCCACCTATCTCTCCAAGAGGCAACAAATCAAGGTAACACTTTGTGTACAGGGAGTCCTCAACTGAACGACCACAACTGAGCCCAACATTTCAGTTGCTAAGGAAGACGGCCACTCAGTGACTTTTGCCCCATTGTACGACTCTTCTTGCCACAATTGTACGACTGGATCCCTGCAGCTGTTAAGCTAATCACACGGTTCTTAAGTGAACCGACTCCCCCATTTGACTCTGTCAGGAGGTCACAAATAGTGATGGTGTGACCCCCCGGGATGCTGCAACCGTCATAAATGGGAGTCAGTTGCCAAGTATCTGAATTTTGATCACGCCACTCTGGGGATGTTGCAAAGGTTGTAAGTGTGAAAAATGGTCATAAGTCACTTTTTTTCAGTGCCGTTGTAACTTTGACTGGTCTCTAAAAAAACCTGTAGGCAAGGGAGGGGGGGTAAAGGGCGTCATCAGTCTTGAATCCCTTCGTGCCCACTAGAGATCTGAGTCCAGCCTGCCTTGAATTCCGTGGACTCTTATCTGGTCCCAGTTTGCCTCGATTGTCCGTAGTTCATATTCTTGTAAAGAGCTAGCATGGATTAAACCTGCACTCACTTGAACAACCCAGGTTCCCGATTTCTTGCACCTGACAGAACCCAGTTTCTGTCATAGTGTGAGAGCCCTCAACTTACAACAGTTCATTTAGTGACTGTTCAAAGGTACAACAGCACTGGAAAAAGTGACTTGTGGCCGTTTTTCAACGTTACAACCTTTGCAGCCATCCCCACAACCACGTGATCACAATTCAGATGCTTACTGGTTCCTATGTGTGACCATTGCAGTGTCCCAGGGTCACGTGATCACTTTTTGGTGACCTTCTGACAAGCAAAAGTCAATCGGGGTAGCCAGACTCACTTAACAACCGAGTGAGTAATTTATCAACTGCAGCGATTTACTTAACGACTGTGAATAAGAAAGGTTGTAAAAATGGGACAAAACTCTCTTAACAACAGAAATGTTGGGCTCAGACATAGTTGTAAGTCGAGCAGTACCTGTACGTGAAGATGACCTTGGAAGACAGAAGGAAGAGCCGCAACTTCGACAGTTGTCAGAGAAACACAGGGATGGGGGGG